TACCCCTAGATGCACACACACCACACACACGCCTAGACACACGCCACCCCTAGACACACACACACACCCCTAGATGCACACACACCACACACACGCCTAGACACACGCACACCCCTAGACACACACACACACCCCTTGATGCACACACACCACACACACGCCTAGACACACACATACACCTAGACACACACACACACCTAGACACAAACACACCACACACACCTAGACACACACACAGCTAGACACAAACACACCACACACACCTAGACACACACACACACCCCTAGACACACACACATGCCTAGACACACACACACCTAGACACACACACCACACATCACACACCACACACACGCAGACACATACCACACACCACACACACACCACACACACACATCACAGGTACATGCATACATACACCACACGTCACACACACGCATAGACACACGCACGTACACACCGCACGCTGGCCTCGGCACAGCACCCCCCTCCTTCTCATCCTGCTGGCCCCACTCATTACATGGCCTCCGATGGAAGGGCTGGGTGGGGGTCACTGCCCCTGGCCCTCACCTCCCTGTTGGATCCTGTGGTCATCGCAGCTTCCCCGCCGGCCCGGGGCCTCCTTCAGGCCCAGGGCCTTCGTCTCGGGCGCTCACGGCCCCGGCCCAGGGCCTGACACCGGTTTGGAGGGGCGTGAGATCTGGCAGGAAGTTTCTGAGGATGGTCATACTGAACTCCACGTATTGTGATCCAGAGAAGGAGGGCGTATCTGTATTCGTGCGAGTCTAGGTGTGTGCGTGAGTGTGAGTATGCACGGGGGTGGTGAGCTGCCCACGCCCGGCCTTCTCCTATCTGCCCCTGACTCCTCTATCTCCTCAAAGACAGGCGGACGGCATTTCGGGGACAAGGGGCTTCCGTCCGGCTGGGGTGCCCCTGCCAGGCTCTCAACCCCTGGCCTCTGCGCCTCACCTGGCAAACGGGCTGTGATCCAGGGCCCCTCAGCCGGCCATCAGGGGAGAAGTGAGGTGACACAGGTGTGAGGATATGGTGACATCACTGCTTTGGGGGTGGCACGTCCCGATCCCGTGGTGGAGACGGCCAGTGTCAAGGCACCTGCCCCCCAGAATGCGGGAATTCCTCCCGGCCTCTCCCAGTGTCCCTGACACCGAAATTCTAGGGCCCTGGGTGAGCGTTTAGGGAAATGTTGACAAATAGCTTCATAATAAGGCAAACGCTGACCGTAAACATTTAATCTTTGTTAAAAGCATCACAAATGGTTTATTGTTTTTTAAAAAGGAAAAATAAGAAAGAATCGATCGCATCTCTGTTATGTGCATATATGAAGTATGGGCTCAACCCTGTTGAATGAAACGTTAGCTGCCCAAGCCCAGCCCGTTATTCCCAGGTGCCGGCGTGTGTACCTGTACATCAAATACACAGAACCTCAAACGTAGAACCAGATAAATCCATAGACCTATGTGGTGATTGATATGATTACGGGAATAGGAAAGTATCAGGATATAGGTGCCGACTTATTCCCAGGTTCTTGGGTCCACACACCCAAAATGCTCTTAATAGAAATAATGACATAAAATACATGAAAAACACAAATAGCGAAAGCGAAAACCCTACCCTGACAGAGAGAATGAAGCTGAGGGTCAAGGGGGGGGCAAAGGGCTCGTCACCCGCAGGCACTGCTGAGCTGGGGGCTGTGTCCTTGCTGACCTTGACCTTGGACCTGGACAGTGCTGACACATGTCTGACCCTGGTTCTGACACTCACAGGACGGGCCGGGTGCGGGTGGACAGCAAGACACAGGGTTCCTAAGCCGTCTTTGGCGACCTCGGGCAGGCTGCGGAGAACCCAGCCTCTCCCACACAGCCCCCCAGCTCCAGTCTGGGGTCCGCTGCCCCAGCCCTTCCCCGAGGAGGGTCTTGAGGACGGCTTGCAGGGCGAGCTCTGCCGGGCTGGGCCAGGAGCTCCAGGCGGTGGGCCGGCAGGGTGGGGAGAGGGATGCCTCTGTCGCCTGCCCCGTGACCTGCAGTGACCCCTTCTGAGCTGGTTTCGGGTGGTCTGAGTCCCCGTTTGTGACACAAGGAGCTGGACTCCAGAGGTCCCCCACTCCACAAGGATTCAGGGCCTCCCACGTGTTCTGGGTGTGAGGGTGCATCCCTGGTCTCCCTCCCGCAGGCCATGTTTCTTTTCTGGGCAAGTGGGCTAATGCCCCCCAGGCTTCATTCCGGACTTCCCACGGCCAGCGAGTTCCTAGCCTGGGCTGTGATGTCCCCGCCTCTGAGGGGAAGGCCCCGGCCACCTGAGAGCCCAGCCTGCGGGGTGGGTAGGGGGAGGAGGGAGAGGATGGGGAGGGGGTACTGATTTCCAGTTTCAAGGCAAAAGGTGAAAATCTGCCCCCATATATCCCTAGTGTCCCTGATTCTAGGCATCTGTGAGCGAGTGGAATCACACTGCACGGGGAGCAGGGGGGGCTGGCTCCTGGGCACCTCTGCTGCCGTCTTGCTGTGTGACCTTGGGAAAATCACTCCCTCTCTGGGCCTCAGTTTCTCCATCTTCAAAACGAGGAGCACACTACTTGGCGGCCCTTCGGGCTCTGCCATTCGAAACCCCGCCTGGTTCCCGGTTCCTAAGTGCGTCCCTCAGGCTATGCGGAAGCACCGAACACTCTGGGCATCTAGAGGCCGTTCCCACCGTGGCCACTAAGACGGGATCCCGCAGGCGGGAACCCCCGTGCGAGGGCGCCGCCTGCTGGCTTCCTTCGGAAGTGCAGGCGCTGGATCCCTAGGACCCTGTGTCGGGCTGGGGCGAGCTGGGGCGGGGGGGAAGCCAGGGAGAGCCTTTGCCTTGTGGGCCCCAGGAGAGAAGGCTGCCAGAAGGGGCAGAGGAGCATCCCTGGGCATTCTGGGGAAGGGGTTCCCGAGAATGGGGCCACTGCCTGGCAATAAAAATAGGAAGTTGAACACTCCCCTCCCCCCCCCCAAACGCAAACAGCTACCTAGAGAGGTATTTACATTACCTGCAGTTTAAAAAGAGGAAGGACAGCGGCAGGTGCGGAAGGCGGTACTGGGGGGCCTGCCACTGGCTTTCTGGATTCTGGCGGGGCGGTGGACACCCCTGCAGAGGGACGGCCCTGCGGTGGGAGCTGCCTTCCTGGAGGTAATGAGGAAGGAAGCAGGGCCCCGCTGTCCCTCTGCTGGGACGGGAGCCCGCGGCACAGGTGATGGGGCGGGTCTGCGGTGCTGAGAGCCCGGCCTCTCCCAGCCTCTGGGGGACCAGCCTTGGCCACGAGAAGTCAGGCCCGGCTGCGGTGACCAGCCGTGGGCAGCCAGGGCGGCCGTGTGAGGTCCAGAGAAGTGCCCAGAGTCTGGGAGGGCGGGTGGCGCAGCGGGCGGCACGTGGGCCTGGTGTCCGGGGAGGCAGGAGCTGGCGGGTTTCCTGGGCGGCCGTGGGCTGGGCGGGCTTGAGCTGGACAGAGGTGCATCTGTCGTCTTGCGTGGACACAGCTGGAGAAGGAGGCTTTTCCAAGGTCTCTGAGGGGACGCCGGTCCCAGCCCCGTGCCGGTGGCACGTGTGGTCCTGTGCCCTCCACAGGGGATGAAGCGGCGGAGAGGATAGAGCTCTGGGCGCGGCCTCCAGCGGCATCAGCCCACCAGGTAGCTGTGCATCTCTCGGGAGTTGACGCTCAGGACCACGCCGGAGTGATTCCCTGGAGGCACAGAGATGCCAGGTGTGAGCACACGCCCGGCCGAGGGGCAGAGAGAGGACGGAGGGCCGTGTGGGACACGGTGTGGCCTCAACTGGCGTGCGGGGCATCCCGCGCTTCCTACAGCCCTGCGGGTCGTGCCTGGACGTGGGCGCGGAGAGGTGTGCGTCTCTAGGTTTCCTGGGAGGAGGGGTGACTGAGGGTGGGCTCTCCTGGTGCCGGCACAAGCAGTGGACCCAGGGGGCCTCCGGGGGTGAGGCCATGCCAGCCAGCAGCCACCATACTCACTGCCCTGCAGTGGCCGGCCTGGCGTTGGCGGCAGGGGGAGGTAGGAGGGGCTCTGTGCTCCCCGGGCAGGGGCACTGCAGGGCGGCGAGACAAGGCCCCAGGAGGCAGCCGGAGGGAGAAGGGCACAGTGACAGTCAGAAGGGCAGGGGTCAGCCGGGGTCCTGGGCGGGACTGTGTTCTGAGCCTGGGGGCCGTAGGCGTGGCCGGTGGAAGGAGTCGGCTCGGGCTGCCCAGAGCCCCCCAGACCCCCGGGCACGTGGGAAGGAAGCGGCCCAGAGCTTCCAGTGGGGCCGCCGGGGGGCATGGTGTGGTGAGCCCCGCGTGCCAGGGGAGACCTCACCAAGGCGTGTCACCTCACGGCCTCGGTTTTGTCATCTGTAACTTGGGGACGATAATATGGCCTCCCCTAAAGGATGGTAGGGGGGTCCGGAAGGGACTGGCCCTGAGGATTTGGGCAGGGCCTGGCACACACTAAGTGCTCCATTAAAAGAATCCCTTATTATTACGCTATCATTGCTCTTCGGGCAAAGAGCTGTGGAGGCAGGAGGGCCGCTCTCTCATCTCCCTGGGACGCCCACCCCTCTGTCCAAGCTTGGGAAGCCCGGGTCCACCGCGAGCCTCTGCCACCACCTTTCACGTGGGGTGCGACACTGCCTGATGAAGATGGGGGTGACCACCCGGGAGGCCGCGTGGGGCCCCGACGCTCTCCAGCCACTGCTGGCCTGGGCTGAGGGGTCTTGGGGCGCACGGGGGAGCTGGCCCCGAGCCTGGGCTGCAGCGTGGGGGAGGGGCACAGAATCGGCTGCGCCTCTTATTGGCTAAGTGACTTGGGAGACTGAGTGGCTGCTGTGAACCTCAGCTGTCCCATCTGTCAAATGGACGCACGGCCAGGGCCTGCCTCCCAGGCTGGCTGTGAGACTGTGCCGGGAAGCAGTGGGCCTGTTGAGGAGTAAGTGCCCGGGAAATCGGGGCTATAGTCACCGTCCCGGGAGGCTGCGGACCACAGCCCTGAGAGGAACCCGGCTGGGCCGGCGGCTGTGGGAGACGGTGGGGCTGCAAGGTCAGGGAGCTGTGGAGGACAGGAGTGGTCAGCTCCCAACCACTCCAGGGAGAAAAGAGGGACGCGGGCTTTGGGGTCTGGCAGGCCCGCGTCTGGGTCCCAGGCCAGCCGCTTGTCTGCTGCGCTGCCTGGGTGAGCAACGTCACCTCTCTGAGCCTCACCTCCAATCATTTAAAAGGTGAGGACAGCCATTCCACCTCCCACAGCTCCGGGGACACAGTGGATACGGGGTGGGGAGGGATAAAGGGGCGGTGACAACACAACCCACGACGGGGACACGTTTCTGGAGCGTCCTCCTGGCTGCTTGTCTGGGGGCCTCACAGCAACCCAGGGGTGGGGCGGTCGCCGTGTAGGGGGTGCAGAGAGCGGCTGTTACGGGTGGGGAGAGCCAGCGCGGGTGGGCAGGTGGCGAGGGAAGGGGAGGAGGTTTCGGGGCGGGCATTACCTAGTGTCTGTGAGTGGAGCTCATCATCTATAAACTCCTCACCCTGGATGGCACTCTGCACGTCCTGGCTGTGGCTCACAGGGCTTGTCATTTCCTGTTCCTTCTCATTGTGCATCTGGGCGTACACGGTCCTGCCGGGGCGTTTCCTGCGGGACGGAGGTGGGGACTCAGGGCTTTGCCCAGGATGCCTGTCCCCAGAAGCCCCCAGCAGATCCCTGGGCCATCCCTCTGTGTGGTGCTGACATCGCTCCTGGGCCTGCCTCCTGCCCTGTCTCTGCTCCAAGCCACCTCCTCCAGGAAGCCCTCGTCCCGTGAGCTCCAGCGGCCCTGGGTTTCCCTCTGCCCCCGCACACGGGGTGCTCGCTCTTCATCCGTCTCCCCTCGGCATGCTGCAGGGAGAGGCTGTTTTATTTTCTTTCAGGTCTCCGTCACCTTGCACCTCAGGGCTCTGGATGGATTGGCATGCGTTCCCACATGGCACGTGATGTTGACTGGCTCTGAGAGGTGCTTGCTGAGCCCTGCCCGGGGTTCTGGGGCTGGCTGCACCATCCTCAAGTTCCCATACCCTCCAGGGCAGAGGGAGAGGAGAGCAAGGGCACAGCCCCCTCTGCCTCAGCTGGGACTGGGCTCGGGGCCCCTGGACCAGGCTCCTTCATGTTCAACACCCCAGTTAGTTGGAGCAAAACCCCAAAAGAGCCCATGGTCCCAATTTACAGAAGAGGGAACTAGACTCAGCGGGAGAGTGGGCTTCCTTAGAGCCACTCACCAACACTGGCAGTTCTCTGGAAATATTGAGATGGCAGGATGCACATTCAGGGCCCAGGGTGGGTTGGGCCATGTGGCCAGACCCAGTGGACTGCAGCACTTGATGGCTGTGAGCCTCTGAGACTTAGGGGCTGTTTGTTACACAGCTGGGCCCAGCCCACGCTGACTGCTGCATCAGTCAGGAGAGCCCAGCTCCCTGGGCTCCACAGAGCTTAAAGCCTCTGGACAAATGGGGCATTTCTCTCTGCAGCTGCAAGGTCCTCCCCTTGCTCCTCCTTCCCCCTCCTCTGGGGACAAGGTAGTAGGTTCCTTCTGGGCCATTTACACTGTGTGTGATAAATCTGGAGCAATTTGCAGAAACTGCAATCTGGCCTTCAGGGGGTCTGAAGAAGGCAATCGAAAGAGAACGGAATTCTGCCCCTTTCACTCCTGACCTGCCAGGCCTGCCTCCTGCCCACCCCAGGCAATCCTGCCACCCTGCAATTCTCAAGTGCCCTGAGAGAAGCCCAAATGGGTGCACGCAAACTGTGGTCCAAGGGGAAAGAGAAAGGGGTGGGGGCAGGTCCCGACTCCAGCCATTGCCTCCAACTCGGCTCTGACTTGGGAGGCGGCGTCTAAATCGTTTTCTCGTTCAGCCTCTCAGGACTCACACCCCATGGCCTGCCTCAGCCAGGCCTGAGCCGGGCGGTTTTCACAAGGTCCCAATTAAACACGGCGTTATGGCAACAAGGGAGACGGGCACAGGAGAAGGTCTGCAGGAGCTGGGGGCCTGCGTCTGCTCCTGCCCACCCCCCTCCCCTCCCCATCTTCCCCTCCCTGCCCCCTGCCCCTCTTCCCCACCTTCTCCCGCTTTTCTTCTTCCCTTGTCCTATCCTCCTCCTGCTTAGTCTCCTTTTACAGATGAGGAAACTGAGGCTCAGGGAGGGGAAGAGACTGGCCAGGACCACAGAGCTGGTCAGCAGTAGGGCAGGATGGTGGCCCAGTCTTCGAGGCTGACTCAGCCGTGCTGCCATCTGGACTGCCCTGCAGGTTGGGGGGCTGCCACCCAGTGTGAACGGTGCTGGAGGACAGAGACCCAGAAGTGTCCAGGGCTCAGGGGAGGAAGGACCCTCGGCCTCAGAGGAGCAAGGGGAGGGTCAGCTCCGTCTCTGGACTGTTCCCAAGGGCGACCCCAACCAGGGAGACCCCAAGGCCACTGGAGCCAAACCAGCAAGACGGGGAGAAACAACAGGCTCAGATCTGGCAGCTGCGTTTTGCAGGAAATGAGTCTGGTGACAACTTTCTGGTCGTTTTGCTCATTCCCAGGCCCTCGAGGGTGCCCATGAGTAATCCCAGCACCGAGGGTTATTAAACCCATTTCACAGCTGAGGACTCAGGTAAGAGGGGGAGAGAGGCACCACAGCCCCTCCCAATGACCGCACGGTGTGCTTGCCACCCACCCAACCTCGGCTCAAGCCCCCGCCCGCTCCCACCCTGGGTGTCAGCCGCCCCCCGCTCCGGCCCTGGGTGTCCCGTGCAGCCACTCCATCTGGAGGCTGGAGCCCCCTCCCAGTGGAGTGCCTGGCACATGACAGCTCTGGATCATGCTTGCGGAGGGAAGGGGTGGATGAGTGCTGGGGGAAGCGTGGGGATTGGGCACAGCCTGGGGTCAGAGCCCCACTCCTCAGCTGTGTGGCCCTGGGAAAATCATTTAACCTCTCTGAGCCTGGGTTTCCTCATCTGTAAAATGGGTGGGTGGAGCAGAGAGGTCCAGAGAGGATGGGGGTGGAAGAGGCTCCTTGGGTTGTGAGCAGTCGGCTCTCTCCCTCTGGGATCAAGGTGACTCAGAACCAGGCTGTGGGTCCAGACAAGGCCCCTGCCCACCCCAGGACCCGTCGCAGGCACAGCCACAACCCTCCAAGGCCCTGCTGGGAAGCTGCGCGCCCCCCACCAGGCCCCACCCTCACGCCCAGTTAGCCTAGGGAGGCCGGGTGACCTTGCCTTTTGAACTTGTAGAGGATGAAAGCTCCCACCGCGAACAGCCCTATGAGGACGACTGCCACCGCCCAGTAGCCGCCACCTCCTCCCAGGCTTGGAGAATCTGTGAGCAAAGCAGCCTGTGAGTGGTCAGCGTGGGCACCGGCCAGCCTCCTGGCACCTAGGACCCCCACTGAGTAAATCCCGGCCCTGGTCCTTCCTCCTGGAAAGTGGACAGAACTCCTCCGTCCGCATTGATGCTGGCGTGGACACATGGCTGCACAGAGCAGAACGCAGCTCCTCAGCTCCTGCAGAGATCGTTGCCCAAAGTGGGGAGGACAGTCCACGGTGGGGGGTGGGGACAGAGCCACCTGAGACTCTAAATGACATAAGTTAAAGCAAGAGCTCCGTACTGTGTCCGCGGAGAGCACCGTGAGGCCCTTGGTGTGACGGGGTTTTAACCAGAGGCAACCACCCGTCCAGGAGGAGCGTGTGTGTGGGCGGCAGAGGGGGGTCCCTCTGTCCCCAGCGTCCACAGTAATGGGTGTCGTCTGAGGGGCCTGGACACACACCCACCCCACCCTACAGAGGTCAGCTCCGGCCAGGCCTCTCACCTGTGTCCACGTTCCTCATGGCCACCAGCACCCGGACGCCACCACGCAGGAGGAAGCTAATCTTCTGTGCATTCAGCACCTGCTGGATGGCCACGAGCCTCTGAAATAACAGAGCGGGGAGTGAGGGGGTCCTCGGGGACCCAGCAGAGGAAGCGGGAGAGCTGGGCAGATGTCCGCCTGGACCCTCCAGAGCCATGGGGCTGGGGGAGGGCCACTCAGCCTCTCCGGGCCTCAGTCGCCTCCTCTGTAAAATGGGAATACTAGCCACCAATGAACTCTCACCAAGAACCTACAATGGGACACAAGGTGACCCAACTGTGGCCCTGCCCTCACAGAGCTCTAGTTTTAGTCAGGACCATAGAGTGTGGTAAAGTTGGGGAGACCCAGGGATGCTCCAGGAGGCCCCCAACCCCAGAAGTAATCAGGGGAGGCTTCTTGGAGGTGGAAGACCAGGAAGAAGACAAGACAGGGACAGGAGAGGTGACCCAGGCAGGCGAGTGAGCCCACACCTGAGGCAGAGAAATCCCAGGAGGTGATGTTGCTGGATCATGGTGGGGGGGAGGGGGCAGCTGACCTCTGGGGTGCCCAGCTGGTTTGGCAGTTCAGGATGGGGGAGTTTTCCTGGTGTCCAGAAGGGAACCACTCAGCCCACGTGGGTGTCAGGTGTCACCCTCTGCACAGGTGGGTGCAGATGTGTTGGGGGAGGGGTCCCTCTCAGGGATGGGGTCCCCGTGGCTCTGCTCCCTGGGCCTCGGGGGGATATACCCTGGGGACTCTGCTGGCTGCTTCCCTGAGCGGCGTTTCAGCACCCGGGACTCCACGAGGCCCGTTCCCTGCTCACGGAACGAGGGTCTTGAGTCGGGAACTGTGTAAACGACAGGCCAACAGCGCCAGACCTGAAGGGTCTGGGAAGACACCTGGTTCTGCCCCTTGACCTCATGGCCTGGAGGGGTCGCTGCACCTTTCCGTTCTCAGGTCAACGTGAGGATTCGTAGGAGCATGGGGGTGGCGCCCTGAGCCCCATGCTCCGCACGCAGAAAGGCAAGGCTGCTGTCAGTGGCCGTGGCACGTGGCTAAGTTTGCTCGCTGACTTCGGGCATGTGGCAGATGCTGAGTGCTCAGGACGATGGGGGTGGGGTCCCCCCCGTCTCTCACCTCCTTCCCTTCCAGCCCTCACTCGGAAGCGCCCCGGGTGGGTGCAGCCCCCGAGCCCCGTGCTGGCACCCGGGACCCCCGCAGCCTTCCCCTCTGCCCTCAGCTCCTCATCTGAGAAGTGGGTCGATGCCTCTCAACCTGCCACTGACCCACCTCCAGAGACACCACATCAGCAGGGGCTGGGGTCTTGGCTGGGAGCCCCCAGGTGCGGATGCGGACGCCCTTTGGGACGGGCTGTGGGTCAGGCTGGCACAGGCACAGGTCCACCAGGAGGCCGCCCGGGAGTGGCTCGAGCACGGTTTGGCAGCCAGAGTGACAGTGGGGCTCCACGCCCGCACTGTGCTTCCTGGCGGGGGCCTCACTGAGCCTCACTTCCCTCGTCTGTAAAATGGGACGCTGCCACCCACCCACAGGGGTCCTGCTGGTCTTGCTGTATCCGTGCCTCCGTGCAGGTCGCTCTTTCCAGACCATCTGCGTGAGCACCTGTCTTCTCGATTAGCTCAGAGCTTGGCTGCGGTTCTGATTCATCTTTTCTTGAGATAACATTTACTTTCTTCAAGTGTACAATTCAGTGTTTTTTTAGCATATTCACAGTCACGCCCACCACCACTATCTAATTCCAGAACATCTTCTTCCTCCCAAAGGAAACCCCTAAAACCGTGAGCAGTCACTCCCCAGCCCCCAGCAACCAGCAATGCACTGTCTCTGTGGATTCACCTATTCTGGACATTTCGTATAAATGGAATCACACAATCTGTGGCTTTCCATGACCATCTTCTTTCACTTTACATCATGTCTCCAATGTTCATCCAAGTTGCAGCCTGGATCAGAATCTCATCCCTTTTGATGGCTGAATAATATTCCACTGTGTGGATGGCCCCCCTTCTGCTCATCCACTCATCTGTGGAGAACATTTGGGTTGTTTCCACTTTGGGGCTGTGAACATTCAGGTACACAGGTGTGCATGTGGACATACATTTTCAGTTCTCTTTGGCACAGTTCCGGGGGTGGGGCTGCTGCCTCATTTGGTAACTCCGTGTTTAACTATTTAAGGAACCACCAGACTGTTTCCGCGGTGGCTGCACCATTTTCCACTCCCCCCAGCAGTGAATGAGGGGTCAGTTTCTCCGTCTCCTCGTCCACACTCATTGCTGTCTGCTTGGTACGGAATTACAGCCGCCCTAGAGGGCGTGAAGTTCTTCCCATTCATCTTTTTCCTTTTTTGATGTGGACCATTTTTAAAGTCTTTATTGAATTTGTTACAACGTTGCTTCTGTTTTATGTTTTGGCTTTTTGGCCGTGAGGCATGTGGGATCTTAACTCCCCGACCAGAAATCAAACCCCCAACCCCTGCATTGGAAGGTGAAGTCTTAACCGCTGGACCACGAGGGAAGTCCCCCCCTACATTCATCTTTTGATTCCCCGTCCTAGTTGGATGTTCTGAAACTGTCGCCCAGGATCCCCTGGTCGGTGCTCACCCCTCGCAGTGAGGCTGGGGCGGTGTGACCAGCTCTAGCCAATGAAATGGGAGTGAAAGTCGAGTGTCCCCCTGAGGGGTGGTCCTGCCCAATGCCCTGGTCCCCCCCACTCCCCCTCCATAGTGACCTTGGGGTAGCCACAAGGGGGAGGAGGGACAGTGATTGGTGAGAGATAAGTCTTTACGCGATGATGAGAGGCTGAGGTCCCCGTGCTTGCCGGGAATCACCACCAAACCCTCGGCGGCGTGGGGAGGACCCGGCCCAGTGGCCACAGGAGATACCTTGTCACTTGTGAGGCTCCTCTTCCTCGTGGGCCTGGGAGGGGGCAGAAGCACGTGCAGGTCGGCCAAGGTGGGCAGCCCTGGCTTTACAACGGTCACCAGCAGCTCCTCGGGGATGCTGGTCTCCTGCGGGGACACAGACGGCCACTCTGATCCACCGGCCTCCTCTGTCCCCTGCCACACTCCAGGGGCCCAGGAGTACCCTCTCTCCCTGAGTGGCCTGAGTCTTGGCCATTCCTGACCCCTGTACACCTGGAGTCATGGCCCCATCAGCTTATGGCACTGCCTTCTACCTACTGCAGCCCAGCACTCCTGGTCCCTCAGCCTGTGGCCACCACCCCGGCCTCTGCTCAGCCAGGCCTGCCCCCTTCAGCTCATTCCTCCCACCGTGCCCAGGTGAGCAGGCCCCTCCCTGGCTATTGTCCTCCCAAGTGTCAGGGCTCCTGGCCATGCAACTCCCTCAACCCACAAAGCTCTGTCTCCTGAAAGTCCCACTCCATGCATGTTCATCTGGCAAACTCCTATTCATCCTTCAACACCCAGGACAATATTACCCGAATTATTAATGGGCCAAAGGGAGGCATGGCCAGGGTGGGCCTCAGTCTGTGACAGTCTTGGCTGACTCTAGAGGGCTGGGTTTTCTCCCACTGGGGGCCCAAGGGCCTCGAGTGCCCTATGCCCACCCCGATGCACTGCCTTTGCTTTCTGTGAGCTCCCTGAGGGCAGCCATCATACTGACTCATCTCTCTGTCTCCAGTATCCAGCCCAGAAGAGAAACGTAGTGAGTAAATGAAAATCCCTTTAAAGAGATCCTGTTGTAGGACAGCAACTGTGTCTTGTGCAAACAGCTGGTGCTCACTAGATGTGCATGGAAGATGCAGTCCTGTCCCTCCTCTGCAAGGTGACAGTCTGGCTGCATGTCCCCCAGGGCTTCAAGAGGACCCTACATGGCTTCCAAGCACCACTGTCAGCCGATGTGAAGGACAGAGCATCAGGACTGCAGGGCAGCCCGCCTGCCCTCTCCTGGGGGCTCCACAACCCCCGCTTCTCTGGGGCACCCACAACCCAGAGGTGGGCAGGTGGTTTTGCCAGTGGTGGGCTGGGGGCACCTTGGAGAGGAGCCGGGACACCACGAGGCCAATGTCCTCCCTCCACTCGGGGGTGTTGGGGTTGTGAGCGTCCAGGTCCTTGGAAAACTGCAGAGGCATGACCTGAAATCGATCTGGAAAGAGGCAGAGATGGGAGAGTGGGTCAGTACTGGGCGCCCGGCCCCGCTTCCTCTGAGGACGGTGGCCACACCCCCTGGATGGTCCAGGGCTGGTCCTGGGTGTGGGTCCTGCGGCCCACTTTCAGAAAACAAGATTCTTCCCAGTGTGTGTGCCAGCAACTGTCCCGGGCAGGGCCCACTACACCGGCTGCCATTTAATAATAATAATAACAACAACAAAGATGATAATGACGAGGACAGCAGTGTTGCCCTGGAGGGAGGGCCAAGCCTGCTGTGTGATTTGCCCCATCAACTCACAAGGACATACACACCCTACGACATTGACTTCTCGTCCCCCAGGGATCCATGGACTTTGACTGGGCTGGTTCCCCCACCAGAGTAAGAGTCCCTGGAGAGCAGAGTCCCCACCTTCTCTGTCTCTCACATTTCTCACGGTCTGCAACTCAGAAACCTACTCTAGAGCCACAAGCAGCAGGTGGTAAAAAAAAAAAGACCTGGCACCAGGAGTCTCAGAGTGAACTGCAATTTCTCCGCTTACCCCCCGAGCCTTGGTTTCTTGATTTGTAAAATGGGAGGAGGTTTTGCAGGGGTGAGGAGAGCTCAAGGGGCAAGTGCCTTGTGAAGTGTGAGCATGCAGGGCAGGTGGAGATGACTTTCAAGGCTCTGGGCTCAGGGCCTGCTGCCCACATGCTCGTGAATGAAGGAATGGCTGAGGGAGGTCCCCTAAATATTTAACTGATGGCTGCTGTCCACAGGAGAGGCTGTTCTTAAAGCAAGAGGAGCATTTATCAGTGTGGTGATGAGGGCAACATGGTGCCGGGGGGGGGTGGGTCTCTTCCATTCTTAGGACTAATTTTCTATCGTAAATGTCTCCTGGGGGGCTCAGAGCCCCCAGTGAGCCAATAAATGGGACACGGATTCAGAGCAGAGGCCTCTCAACAAAAGTGATACCATCACGTGATGATCCTCAGATAACGGGGGTGCTGAGGACAGGCACCCGGTGGGCAGGCAGACCCGGAGCCCAATCCCAGCTCTGTTGCTGCTGGGTGACCTTGTCAAGCCCCTCAGCCGTGTCCTCATTTGTGCCATGTGGAGCCTGTGAATGCCATGGATATAGGAGTTGTCGGTATTTATTTTACAGATGCGGAAATGGAGGCCAGCAAGGCCGGGGGCGTCAGAGCTGCGTTTGCTGGCCCCTCTGCCCCGCTGGGCCCTGCCTGGGATGACCAGGACATCGGTGGCATATACACCGCCTGTCCCCGACCCTGAGCTCCTGAAAAGGAGGAGTTGTGCTGCCTGTCCTGGGGGGCGGGAGGGGGGGGAACTCACCCAGCACGCGGACCACCTTGGAGTCCTGCAGCACGGAGGTCCCGCAGGCAGCCTGCACCGTCACGCGCACGTCCCCTGTGTCCCCAAACCGCGTTGTCACAGAGTTCTCCAGGGACAGCAGGGGCTGCGGGCACGAGCAGGGGTCAGGGCTGGGCCGGAGAGCTGGCCCCGGTGTGCGGCCAGGGCTACACTGAGAGTGCTCACTGAGAGCCCCCGGGGGGTAACGAGAGGGCCCCCCAGAGACGCCCGGTCTTGAGCTCCCCAGCACAGACACCGTCTCCCAGTGCCCCTTCCCTCCAGAGGCTCCGAGCCCCCCTCCGTGGATGGTGTCGAAGGCGCATGGTGGCTGCTAGGCAGGGCCTCCACCCTGATCCCTTTCACCTTCTCACCCCCTCCACGCTCAGCTGGGCTATGGGACCTTCATCCTTGGACCCCAGCGGCCAGCTCAGCACCCACCCTGTGGGGTGGGCACACACATCCGATTGGGCCTCACTATTGCCTCGGACCTTGTAGACGGGGAGGCAGAGGCTTGGGGAGGTGTAGCAACCGGCCCCAAGAGCTCGGCTGCAGGGGGCTGAGTTGCCATTCGAACCCGGAGCCCTAGCCCCTTCCTCGACCCTCCCCATGCCAGGGAAACACAGTCTGGAGCCCAGGGCCCCTCCTGGTCTGGGACCTCAGCCGTTGTTTGGGGCTTTCTGCTTGGCGGTGAAGGGCTGCCGTTTGCTGAATAAATGAAGGACCCCCCTTTGGGTCTTGAGGCACCCCCCAGCCTAAGGGTGGGCAGCTTCACCTGCAGAGGCCCTCAGGGTCTCCTACCAGGCATCTGCCCTTGGCTCACCACTGCCAACAGGATACAACCCACAGCCCTGGGTGAGGCTTCTGAGGTTGGGTCCAGCCCCAGGGACCCCCTCCTCCATGAAGGCTTCCCTGACTACTCCCATGCTATAACTAGAAATGGCCTGATCTCTTCTGGAACTTTCAGACGCGTCACCTGTCTCCTCCCTGCGACACCTGTCACACACTAACTTAGGTCACCTACTATGTTCCCACATCTTTCCCTAGGAAAAGGCAGGGTCTGACCCGATTCATCCCCCGTCCACCACACTCAGACATGGCCGGACCTCGAACAGATGCTCAGGGTGAAGGAAGAGTCGGTGTGTGCTTTCCTCACCTCCGTGGTGTCACACACTGTGTCCTGCCCAGTATGGAGGGTGGGGCCTGCCCCACTCTCCACCCTAGATGGGAGCCTGTGGGAAGGAAGGGCTGCCAGGGGCCTGGGGCCAGCATACCTGCAGGCTGTGACCAATCCACCAGTAGAAGACGGTGAGGTTGGGGTTCAAGGGCAGCAGCACAGCTGTGAGGGTCACCTCCTGGTTGATGCCAATGATAGGAACCACTTCGAGGTAGAGTGCCTGCAAGGGGGCTGGAGGGGCCAGAAAAAGGTTAGGGGTTAGAGGGCATCAGGGCACTGGCCATGGCACAGGCTGCTATCAGTCACTGTCACAATCAACCTCATCACCACCATCACCATCTCCATCACCACCATCACCATCACCACCATCACCATCACCATCATCACCATCATCACCACCATCACCATCACCATCATCACCATCACCACCATCACCACCATCTCCACCACCATCTCCATCACCATCACCACCATCACCACCACCATCTCCACCATCACCATCACCACCATC